TAATTAGACTCGACCTCGTAGGGTCGTTTTTGTCACTTCTAAGAGAGTTAACTCACTTCAGAGTCCGTTAGAGTAGCAGGAAGGAGTTCAGGTCTGCAGAACTCATCGTATTGACTAGTGGAGCTCTGATCTGATGCATTAGCTTCCACAGCGTCGAGCTAACCTCCCCTCGTCCTGTTGCTGCTCCTGCAGTGCTGCGAGGCGCCGACCAGCTGCAGTACCTGCAGCACCTCCTCTACCTGCTGCCTCCCTGCAACTGCGACACACTGCTGCGCCTCCTCACCTTGTTGCACACGGTGCAGGGCTTCGCTCAGGACTCCATCGGGACCAACGACGAGGAGGTAGGACGCCGGAGTGGAGCGAACGCTTTACCAGGCAGGAAGGGTCCAACAGACACATGTCACCGAGTGGCATCATGGGAAGTGTAGGACGTTTTTAAGTCGTATTCTGCCTCGAATTCCAGTTTTTATGCTGTTTAACTGCTCTTTAAAGCACTTTTATGTATGAAAAGCGCCATATAAATACATGTTTAGTTACTTCCTGAGCATTTCAGTCGTCGTAGGGTTTTTCTAACTGACCCTTGATGACAGATTCAGCAAAACACAACAAAACATCAACAGCAGTGCAGGAAAGAAACAAGACGCAAACACCAGGAATGGGTTCTTGCTCTGATAAGTTTAATGTTTTCACAGCTTCTCACAAATGTTCTATAAAGGTTTTGTAGTGAATAAACCATCAGAAACTGTCGTCACACGAAAACGTCTGTAACTAACGGACAGAAATACAAATAAATGTCAGACATGATTTCAGCTAAAACATCAGTACAGACAGAGAAACCCATGTTTAGCTAAAACACAGTGAATCAGTGAAGTGTGAGCAGCTCAGAGGCCTTTCTCCTCCGCAGGCTGTTTGTTTGTAGGAAGTTAAAGCTGAAACACTCTCTGATCCGTCCGTCTTTCTTCTGAAAACACTAAAACATCATGTGGTATAAATGTTCTTTTGCGGCGTCCTGCCTGATCTCCAGCCAGAGACTTAAAAAGTAGAATCCAGATTTGAACAGTTCACGTTTCCTGCTTCCTCTTCCTTCTGCTTCCTCTTCCTCCTGCTTCCTCTTCCTTCTGCTTCCTCTTCCTTCTTCTTCATCTCGTCTTCATGCAGATTACCGGCAACAAGATGACTTCCGCCAACTTGGCCGTGATCTTCGGGCCGAACCTGCTGCAGAGGGAGCGAGGAGGAGACGTGAGTCCTCAGGCGATGGGCATCGAGGACAGCACAGCCATCATCAGCGTCACGCTGGTGCTCATCCAGAACCACAAGAGGCTCTTCACCGTAAGAACACTCGAGCAGAACCTGGTTCCTCCTGCTGGGTGGAATCATGCAGGTTCCCAGGTGTTGGGACAAAGATGTAGAACAGAACCTGAGCTGCTGAAAGCGTCGTGAGCTTCTTTAGTCACATTCAGATGTTTTGTGTGAACAGACTTTTAAACCTCAGCTTAAACCTCCTCAGAGCTTTAAAGACTAAATGTAGGAACCACTGGGTGAACGTTTCAGCTCCAGCTCGACAGTTCAGGCTGTTTAGTTTCAGTTTGTTCAAGGAGAACCTGCAGATAGTTGTTTTTTTCCACGTCACCGTTCAGTTTTCATCCAGTTCACCGTATTTCGAATCAGCTGTACGCGTGTTGTCTTGGAATCGTCCAACGAATTAGAAGTGAAGTTTTGAAAAGTTGTTTTCCAACCGCTAAGAAAACAAACAAACCGCTGAACATCTACGAGAGCGTTCAGGAAACGTCTTCAGCTGCTTTAGGACGTTTCTTCATCCAGTCCAGAACCAGCTCATCAGTCGTCCGAGTTAAAAGTTAAACTTATTTGGAAAACGTGTCCATCTCCCAGTAAACCTCTTTTTTCTGGACAAAGTCAGAAACCTGATGTGTTTTATTTTTATTTTGTTTTGTTGTTTCCATGAATAAAGCGCTGATAGAGCAGCTTGTGGATGTTATGGCTGCTGTGTGTCGCTGCAGGTGTCTGCGGAGCTGCAGCAGGAGGTTCTGATGAGCCTGATCCAGACCGACCCGGACATCATCGACTACCTGCTGCGGAGGAAACTCAGGTAACTATGGCAACCAATCACGCGTCCGCCTGCATCAGCGAGACAAACTGACCACATGTGCTTGCGGTGCAGCGGCAGCCACCTGACAGTGGAGGGCAGCGGCGAGTCGGGCGGCCGCAGGGACACCGGGGCGTCTCTGGACTCGGTGGGAGCCTCCAGCGGGAGTCTGTCGCCGCTGGAGCCGCCGTCACCGCTGTTCCCTCCGGACGGCAGCGGCGGTGAAGGCAGCCTGACCAGCGAGGTGTTTCTCAACGTCCTCAAGCTGAACCAGAACAGGAAGCGGCAGGACTCCAGATACGGTACTGACGAGTTGTCTGTGCAGCTACATGTTGTGATGTGACCCTGAAGAGGTTTATCGTTTAGAGCCTAAACAATTAAAGACGGGTTGAGACAGAAACACATGAAACAAGTGACAAAGAGACAGAAGTCTTTAGACCATCATGTAGGAAGGTTTTAGAAACACAGCTGTGAGAAATCTGTTAAGACAAGTTTTAAACAATGATAGAAAAGTAAACTTTTTAAACCATTTTTGATTTATTTATTTTTATTTAAACTTACATTTTTATAGGAAATACTACACTG